CCCCAAAACCCCAAAACCCCAAAACCCCAAAACCCCAAAACCCCAATATGTGAGAACTGCATTGAAAATGACCCATAAAAGTTGCAATTGGGGATATGTATGGTTAATCCTCCTATAAATAGAAAAATTGTGCAGATGTCTTCAATTCAATTACACATAACTTTACTTGTAAAGCGAACCAACACGAATGGAAGTACATAATCAAGGTAAGCCTAGACCTGCTTCTTCAGCTGCAAGCTCAGCTTGCGAGCTCTTTCAAGAGCCAAGATATTTGATGAAGAGGATAGACATTTATTGTGAAGGAGATTTCATGATAATTATGAGGTTTTCTGATAAATCTTAAAACATTCCTTTGTGTTACATGAGCTCTGAGAGCTTTTAGATGAGCTAAATAATTAATTTTTGGCCTATAGACAATAATCAAGCTAGCGAAGGCAAGAAGCCAAAGCATTTGAAAAATAAGCCACTAAAATCTCAAGAAGATTTTATTGATTTTAAAATCTTCAAAATCCTAAAATCAGAAGATAGTTGTCCAAAACTAGTCGAAGGAGCGATGGCTCAGGATCATGGAGAGAAGCTCTCAGCTGCGGGGATAAGTCTCGAAGACAACCCACAACTACTCTTTGAACAGAACATCTTCTCCCACGAAGTCAGTATTGAGGCATTTGATGAAGAAAGGAAAGAGCAGGTGTCAGACTGTGATAAGCTGATCATATCTCAAAGGGATGCAATCAAGCTCTTCTCGAGAGATCAGAACTACCTGAAAATAATTGAGGAGCAAGTCCACGAAGAAGGATATCTTTCTTGTTTCCTCCTTGAAAATCAGATTCTGCTGGCGAAGCCTGTTAAAGGAAACATCTCTCATAGCAGTTATGGGTTGAAGATTTTCCAAGGCAGTTCAGAATCTGGACAGGAAGATTATGCTCTCCTAATGCCTCTTAGCATTAGGAGAGACCACAGGGTACTTGGAAAGAAGCAAGAATTATATTTTCAACATAGGCTCTCCCCAGGTAGCTGGTTTTTCTCTAAAGAAGGTTGCATTGTCTACAATAGCCTTATGAATATGATCAGAGAGCAATACAAACTGAGAGGTTTTGACGAAGTAATGAGTCCAAACTTGTTCAATTTGGAGATCTTTAAAATTTCAGGACATTATCAAAACTATAAAGAACACATGTTTATGTTAAAAGCTGATGGGCATGGCATGGGCTTGAAACCCATGAACTGCCCTGGGCACCACCTAATCTTCAAATCAAAGCTCAGGAGTTACAGAGATCTCCCCATGAGATTAGCCGAGTTTGGGGTTCTTCACAGAAATGAACTCTCTGGAGCCTTATCTGGGCTCTCCAGATGTAGAAAATTTATCTGTGACGATAGCCATATTTACTGTAGAGAGGAACAAGTTGAGGATGAAATCCTTCAAAACTTAAACTTTGTAGACTACGTCTACAAATTATTTGGGTTAGAGTTCAAACTCTTCTTTTCCTCAAAGCCAGAGAAATATCTCGGAGACGACGAAGTTTGGGAGGAAGCAGAGAACAAAATCAAGCAAGCTCTGAATAACTCAGGGCTTCCATGGGAGGAGAATCCTGGAGATGGAGCCTTCTATGGGCCTAAGATTGATATTGTCCTCTATGATTCATTACAAAGAGCTCACCAATGTGCATCAATCCAGTTAGACCTACAAGCTCCTATTAGATTCAATCTCATGTACAAATCTGAAAGCCAGTCAATGTCTGAAGAACCCAGTTCTAATGAGAAAAGAGAAGGAAAATACTATGATTTTGAGCCTGATGAGTACGATCCTTCCTCCTTTAGATGGGAAGAACAACCTCTCAAGTCTGGCTTCAAGAGACCGGTGATCATCCACAGGGCCGTGCTAGGCTCTGTAGAAAGATTTATCAGTATCCTCATTGAACATCTTGATGGGAAATGGCCTTTCTGGATATCCCCAAGACAAGCAAAGGTGGTGCCTATCTCAGAAAAGTTTAATGAGTATGCTGAAAGAGTGCAGAAGGCACTTAAAATGAATGGATTCCATTCAGAAATAGATTCTTCTAACGCTAAATTGCCTAAGAAGATTAAAAATGCTCAACTTGACCAATGGAACTATATGCTCATCATTGGCCAGAAAGAAGTTGACGCTGAGAGTGTCAATGTTAGAGCCAGAGACGGCTCTAGGCTTGGCGAGATGAAGGTCGACGACCTTCTTGAGAAGTTTGAAGAGGAAAGATCTATTTTCCCAAAATTCAAATTCTCTTCTGATTAAAGTTTGATAGTTCAAGATTAGAATAATTTTTCAATTGGCTAGTTTAGCCAAGGGGTTTTGGGGTTTTGGGGTTTTGGGGTTTTGGGG